TACACTCACCACTGCACTCACCACTAGTACACTCACCACTAGTACACTCACCACTTAAACACTCACCACTACATAGCTGTCAACCCATTATCAGTGCCCGACCTTATCGCAGACCAATTCAGACCGTATTGATCACCCCGTGCCCCTTGTAAATCTCAACGTTCATCCTACAAAGTCGGATGAACGTTGCCTTTTTACTGCCAGTGGATTCTGGGAAGCTGTAAAAAAAAACTTCCAAAGGGAAAGAGAGGGGTGGGGGGGGGTGACCCTCACTCCCTTCGTGAAGTGGGGCAGAGACGGGGGCTCAGAAAGCATCAAACGTGAGTTGGCGTGTCTCTCTCATTTCATGGTTGCGTGGGATTTTGCTCCTCCGGTTTTTCCCTCCACATTTAAAAACATTTCCACACAAATAAGCCACTTCTTCTTTGGTTCTTTCGGTAAAGTCACGTAGAATGAGAATAAAATAATGAATTGATAAAATAAAATAACACAATAATATTCTCACGACGTTTCGGCCACAACACAAGCGGCCTTCATCAGGTGAAGGGGACGAGACTGTCTGGAGGACAGCGCTGGAGTGAGAAGCGCTGTCCTCCAGACAGACTCATCCCCTTCACCTGATGAAGGCCGCATGTGTTGTGGCCGATGGCCGAAACGTCGTGAGAATATTATTGTGTTATTTTATTTTATCAATTTATTATTTTATTCTCATTCTACGTGACTTTACCGAAAGAACCAAAGAAGATGAATCCTTGTAGTCACGAAAGCTTTAAATCGAGATAAGCCACTTCGTTGAGCTATCGCTAGCGATGGGCCAGGTCGCTTCTGGCAAGAGAGCTACGTAGCTCCGTGGGCCTTACCTGGTTAAATGAAAAACAGTTTCGTTTAAATAGTGCAATAGTTTTGGGGAGATGCGTTCATCCGCCAGTGGATCGAACATGGCTGATAATGATGATGACGATTGTGACGACCCACGATTCCTTTTGGAAAAATATATTTTCGGTGGACCCATCTGTCGTGCCACCGTCGAAGCAAACTGAGCATCACACCGTGATTTTTTTTAAACGATTAGGATAACGCAACCTCACAATTGATCTTTTTTGTGGTCGTACACCCCCCCTACAGAATCAAAATATGTATTTACACTGCAGGAGGAATCCGATGAGCATTCAAAGCTCTTTTTTTTTTACACATGTCCAGACGGGGAACGTGATAAGAACGTTACAACGAAAACATTTTTTTTAAACATGATAGGAGTGCAAAGTATAGGAATGGTATCCAAATTACTTTAAAATGTACAAACAAAACCAAATGATTTTAATCTTACCAGGTAAAGCCCACTTAGGAATTAACGTATTTTTCAAAAGCGACCAGGCTTATCATGAATGATAGCTCAACAAAGTGGCTTATCTCGTGGAGATTCACAACAGTCAAATATTCTCGAGACGCTGGTTCTAAACGTGGAGGGGAAAAAAATCAGAGGACCCGGAGAACAAAAATCCACGCCACCACAGGGAGGGAGGGAGGGAGAGAGACACGCAAACTCCAACAACATACACAGCGAATCCTCCACTCGATTGGCTGCGTAGGGTGGTTGAGGGCGTGCGACACACAATTTAGTTGCGAGGTCTGTTTAAGAGGCAAAAATTGAGTTTTGCTCGATGGCCAATTAAAATATGGGTGAGCTAACAAGAAAACTTGGAGAAAAACTTACCCAGAAATACCCTCCCAAAACGTGTTTTTTTTTCTCCAAATTAATACGACATCCCCAAATGGCCAAATAATTTTTCAATTATGCGTTGTCGTTGTTGTTATTTTTGTACTTGCAACTCTGCCAAGTTAGCACACAACTTGATTTTGCATGGTTTTTTTTCGCGTTGTTACAACTGCACCATCTGCTTTGGCAAGCGCAACTTTTCCAGTCACTGTCCTTGTCACACTCCGTCGGAATAAAAGTTTCGATCAGTGGCTAGCTAGAGGGAGGGGAACGAGCGGACGGGCTGCTTGGCATTTGGTGGGAAAGAATGTTGACGGTCAGGATAATTTGAGGAAATTAAAGATCAAAAGAGGAAACCTTAAACGAGTAGGCCGCAAAAAAAAATGCTCGATTGAAACAGCTGGAGAGAAAAATTAAACTGAGAAAAAGTTTTTTCCAATTATCATGAAAAAATAAATGTTCCAAATACACAAATCAGGATTAATTTAATGAGCAATCGTTTTAATTTTTACAGACAACCTACGCAAACGTTTCCCTAATTAAAGCGTCCGTTTGGACAGAATGCATTTTTGCGTGGCATTCAACCGGGACGAAAAATGTATTTAAACAAAATTATTTTTGATTCCGCATTCGACACGGCCAAAAATTAAGTCTGCTGAACGGGGCCGGAAACGTGAAAACACGGCAAAGAACACTCCGACGCCCCTAAAGATCCCGTCTCAAACGCTCAAGCAATTTGTCGCCACCGAGAGGGTCGGCTTGATGAACAGAAACCACAAAACCCAGCGGCGGCATGACGAGAGAAAGAGAGAGAGACAACAAACACACATTCTACAGCACGCTGCCCTCCCAGCTAGCCCTCTCGTCGCCCCCCTCTCGTCGCCCCCCTCTCGTCGCCCCCCTCTCGTCGCCCCCCTCCCGTCCCCCCCCCTCCCGTCTCCCCCTCCCGTCTCCCCCCTCCCGTCCCCCCCCTCCCGTCCCCCCCCCTCCCGTCCCCCCCCCTCCCGTCTCCCCCTCCCGTCTCCCCCCTCTCGTCGCCCCCCTCTCGTCGCCCCCCTCCCGTCTCCCCCTCCCGTCTCCCCCCTCCCATCGCCCCCCTCCCGTCCCCCCCCCTCCCGTTCCCCCCCTCCCGTCCCCCCCCTCCCATCGACCCCCTCCCGTCTCCCCCCTCCCATCTCCCCCCTCCCGTCTCCCCCCTCCCGTCTCCCCCCTCCCGTCCCCCCCCTCCCATCTCCCCCTCCCGTCTCCCCCCTCCCATCTCCCCCCTCCCATCTCCCCCCTCCCATCTCCCCCCTCCCATCGCCCCCCTCCCATCTCCCCCCTCCCATCGCCCCCCTCCCAGCGGAAGGCACTAGGGGGAGATGCCGACCCCCCAACCCGCGTCCCAGCATCCTTCCGCTCACTCTCCACCACTGGGCCCCGTGTTTTCGCATCAAGGACCCCCTGCGGAGGGGAGTACGGCCATCCGCAACTTGGTCTCCCATCTCCGATGGCGGTGCCGCTGCAAATTGCTTGCACGTGCAACCGTAGCAACGCGGGCCCCCGGGAATCGTTCCTCTTTTAGTTTTTCTCTCTTCCCCACTCCGCCTTTTATCCGACCCTCGTTTTTATCTTCGTCGTCGTGTTTCCGCCACGCTAGCCGCAAATTAAATTACGACGCTCTCTCTCCTCCTCTCTCTCCCCCTCTCTCCCACCCTCCGTGTGTTCGCACGAACGCCGCGCGGCAAACAGAGAAGGCCCCCTGCCGTCCGCGCGTTTTAAAAAAAAAAAATTCCCGACACCTAACCCCACCAGGCGCGGCGACGGGAGAAACGGCGGCCTCGCCGGGAGCCTCGCGAAGGCCGCTTGCCGGACACGTACCGGGGCGCGCGCTGGGACTTCCCTCGCGCCGTACGCAGCCGGCCGTGCTCAGCGGGCGTGCCGGAGCGCCACACGACGGAGCAGAAAAGCAACGCAGCGCCGAATCGCGCTACAAAATCAGCGTGGCTGCGCGTAGCCCCGGCGCTGCAGAGGCGACGGCGGCGGCGAGGGTCAGCGAATCACGCGCAGAGACGTCGAAGAGACACCCAAAACCCGCCGGGGTTGCCAAGCAGCCATCTGCGAGCGGGCTAATTCCCCGTCCGTACTCCATCTGTACGGGGGAAACCAACCTCGCCTCCCCTTCTCCCCCACCCCCCCCCACCACCACCTCGGATGCGAGGGTTTCCCCCGGGCGCTGCGGTTTCCTCCCCGCGTTCATTATTCGCACGCTCGACAACGGGGCGAGGCCGAACGTCGCACGCAATACAGGATCGCAGAGTTTGGTGTAAAGGTCGATAGCGCCCGTCCTGCCTGCCTGACCACGCGCCTCCGAAGCCGGCGGACGGCCGCGTCCGGCGCGTGAACTCGCGCGCCGATTTCTTTCCCTGCAAAGTCATTTTGACAACGCAAGGTCGGGGGCGCCACCTGCTGTCTAAAAAACAAAATAGGTAACCTCACGGGGGTGCCCGGGTTCATCGAGCCGCAGACCTCTTTTTTTCTATTCCCCCCCCCCAGGTTTGCCGAGCTTTCAAACCCCGTTGTTGCAAGGTCGGCACTCGTTACGCACGGAGCGCGACACCTCGCCGATCTCGACCGGAGTTGGTCGCGCGAACTCCGGTCATCGTTCCTCGCAGCGGCGGCGGCGGCGCCCGCCGCCTTCGCCCCCGCGCTTTCAGACGCGCTTCTGCGGCCGTCTGGAACGCTCTCTTCACTTCCGACGTTCGGAGGCCACTGGGAGCTGCACGCCACTTTTAAATCGTCATCGTCGGGAAAGCTCATTTCTTTAGAAACTGATTTTAGTGTTCGCTGTTCTTCCCCCGCACCACCGATCGGCATCGTGGAGTGGCGACGGTCGCGTCGCTACGGTTCCCTGCGGCGAGTGACGACGTCTCTGTAAAAACAGCGCTGGTGCTGCTGCTGCTGCTGCTGCTGCACCTCTTTCAATGACATTAACGCCGAGCCGCTCGCACCACCTCATCACCGCGTCGTCGCCCCGTCGCCACCGCATCATCACCGCATCATCACCGCATCACCATCGCATCATCACCACATCATCACCGTATCACCGTGTCATAACCCCGTCGTCACCGCGTCGTTACCGCATCATCACCACATCATCACCACATTACCGCGTCGTCACCGCGCCGTCGCCCTGTCGTCGCCGTCGTCACCGCATCATCACCGCATCCTCACCGCATCCTCACCGCATCGTCACTGCATCGTCACCGCATCGTCACCGCATCGTCACCGCGTCGTCACTCACCCGGAGAGCATCTCGAAGATGAGGATTCCGAGCGCCCACCAGTCGATGGCCAAGCCGTGGCCCTTGCTCTGAATCACCTCCGGGGCGAGGTACTCCGGTGTGCCACACAGCGTGTACGTCCTGACCACGCGCGCACAAACACAAAGATGCACCCCCACCGTGTGGCGTTCAAAAGACCGTGAGGGCAAGTCCTGCTTGCGACTAGCACATCGATGAACTAAACACTAAACTATTTTGATTTTGACCGGGTTAAGGCCCCACTGAGCTTTCGCGAACCAAGATCACGATTCACAATTGATAGATATTTTTTGCGGGGGTCGTAATCACGTCACCAAAATGCGTGTCCGTACACCCCCCCACCACGCTACAGAATCGGAATATTTCTTTACACCGGAGGAATCCGATGAGCTGCGAAGCTCTTTTTTCAAAGATGCCCAGTAGGGGCGGGTTCCGAACGTTGCAACAACGAACGGCACGAAGACACGATAGGAGTGCAAAGTACAGGAACGGTGAACAAGTAAAATAAAGATATGCGAACAAAACAACATTATTTTTTAACTCCGATTTAAAGCTTTCATGACTGCAGGGATTAATATTCTTGGTTCTTTCGGTAAAGTCACCACGTAGAAGGGAAACAATATATATTTTAATTTTATTTTATTGTTTCCCTTCTACGTGACTTTACCGAAAGAACCAAGACTATAACTGAGCGGAAGTTTTAAGTTCTTTCGGTGAAGTCACGTAGAAGGGAAATAATAAAATAATAAACCACGGCAAGAAAATGTTCTTGCTGTGGTTTTCACACCTGATGACGATTGCTTGTGTTGCAATCGAAACGTCGGGAGAATTTTATTGTTTGATTTTTATGATTTTATTATTTCCCTTCTACGTGACTTTACCGAAAATACCAAGAATACATTATTTTTTTATCTTTCCAGGTAAGGGCCCACGGAGCTACGTAGCTCTTTTTTTCAGAAGCGGCCTGACCATCACAAGTGACAGCTCAACGAATTGGCTTGGTAATCATCATCATCATCAACGCGTGGGAATTTACAGCAGTAGGCAAACACTCTAAACGCGCGACGTTGATTCTAAATGTGGAGGGGGAAAACCAGGGGGACCCGGAGAAAAATCCACGCAGAGACACCGCAAATTCCAGGGTCGGGATCGAACCCACGACCTCCTGTGCACCAGGCGAGGTAGTTAACATCTCATAGCCACCGTGATGATGATGATGATGAGAGAGACACGCAAACTCCAAAAATACAGCAGGCGTCAGGGTCGGGATCGAACCCACGCCCTCCTGTGCACCAGGCGAGGTAGTTAACATCTCCTAGCCACCGTGATGATGATGATGAGAGAGAGACACGCAAACTCCAAAAATACAGCAGGCATCAGGGTCGGGATCGAACCCACGCCCTCCTGTGTACCAGGCGAGGTAGTCAACATCTCGCTGTTATCGAGTAGCACACCTATCACGGTCGGCACGTTGCACGAGAGTGTGGGCGGCAGGCACCAGGCCCGGCCGCCTTTGTCTCCCCCCTGCTGATGTTGCTTAAACAACCGTGCCGGGTACTCATTTGAGGCCGAGTCGACCTAGGGGGGGTGGGGTGGGGGGGGGAGGAGGAGGCCCGGGACCGATTCAGAGAATCGTCACCGGCGATGGCCGTGAGCGGGAACCCAACTTGGGTAGCGCGGGGGGGCGCCGCTAACCGTCGCCAACGCCAAACACACGCGCAGAGAGACCCACGCGGAGAGATTCCAATTTGACAACACGCGGTGGACAGGGGGGCAGAGGTTGCTGTCAGCGGGCCACCCGCTGGAGCAGCGCCGCGAAGCTGCGGCGACACCGCTAGGAGGCGCTGCAACTTCGCGGCTCAAGAGGAAAAATAAATCCACTCGGCAAATCACGACGTGGTGAGAGGGTTCCATCTCTGAGCTGGGATGGAGCAGGTTCCAACTCTGAGCTGGGTCACAACTGAACTTTGGTCCTTCGCGAAAAATGCGCGCGTTACAATTTGTATTCTCTTCATCGCTGTCAATGAGGGAGGCATTCTGCCGTGCGCATTGCCACTGATTGGCGATGACCCGGAAGTCGCGACCCTCCGACTCACGAGACAGTCCCCCTCCCCTCCACTCCCTCCCTCCACTCCACTTCCTCCCCTCCCCTCCCTCCCTATACTCCCTCCACTCTCTCCACTCCCTCCCTCCCTCCACTCCCTCCACTCTCTCCCTCCCTCCACTCCCTCCCTCCACTCTCTCCCTCCCTCCACTCCCTCCCTCCACTCCCTCCACTCCAATTCCTTCCCTCCACTCCCTCCCTACACTCCCTCCACTCTCTCCACTCCCTCCACTCCCTCCACTCCCTCCACTCCCTCCCTCCACTCTCTCCACTCCCTCCCTCCACTCCCTCCACTCACCTCCCTCCCTCCACTCTCTCCCTCCACTCTCTCCACTCCCTCCACTCCCTCCCTCCACTCCCTCCACTCCCTCCCTCCACTCCCTCCACTCTCTCCACTCCCTCCCTCCCCCCACTCTCTCCACTCCCTCCCTCCACTCTCTCCCTCCCTCCACTCCCTCCACTCTCTCCCTCCCTCCACTCCCTCCACTCCCTCCCTCCACTCCCTCCACTCTCTCCCTCCTCCACTCTCTCCCTCCCTCCACTCCCTCCCTCCACTCCCTCCCTCCCTCCACTCTCTCCTCCCTCCACTCCCTCCCTCCACTCTCTCCACTCCCTCCACTCCCTCCCTCCACTCACTCCACTCCCTCCCTCCACTCCCTCCCTCCACTCTCTCCACTCCCTCCCTCCACTCTCTCCCTCCCTCCATTCCCTCCCTCCACTCCCTCCACTCCCTCCCTCCACTCCCTCCCTCCTCCACTCCCTCCACTCCTCCCCTCCACTCTCTCCACTCCCTCCCTCCACTCCCTCCCTCCACTCCCTCCACTCACTCCACTCCCTCCCTCCACTCCCTCCCTCCACTCCCTACACTCCCTCCACTCACTCCACTCCCTCCACTCCCTCCCTCCACTCTCTCCACTCCCTCCACTCCCTCCACTCTCTCCTCCTTCCACTCCCTCCACTCTCTCCCTCCCTCCATTCCCTCCCTCCACCCACTCCCTCCACTCTCCTCCCTCCACTCACTCCACTCCCCCCTCCACTCTCTCCACTCCCTCCACTCCCTCCACTCTCTCCACTCCCTCCCTCCACTCCCTCCACTCCCCCCCTCCACTCACTCCACTCCCTCCCTCCACTCCCTCCACTCCCCCCCTCCACTCTCTCCACTCCCTCCACTCCCTCCCTCCACTCCCTCCACTCCCTCCACTCTCTCCACTCCCTCCCTCCACTCCCTCCACTCCCTCCCTCCACTCCCTCGCTCCACTCCCTCCACTCCCTCCCTCCACTCCCTCCACTCCCCCCCTCCACTCACTCCACTCCCTCCACCCACTCCCTCCACTCCCTCCCTCCACTCACTGCACTCCCCCCCTCCACTCTCTCCACTCCCTCCACCCACTCCCTCCACTCCCTCCCTCCACTCACTCCACTCTCTCCCTCCACCTCCTCCACTCCCTCCACTCTCTCCACTCTCTCCACTCCCTCCCTCCACTCCCTCCACTCTCTCCCTCCCTCCACTCCCTCCCTCCACTCCCTCCACTCTCTCTCCCTCCCTCCACTCACTCCACTCCCTCCACTCCCTCCCTCCACTCCCTCCACCCACTCCCTCCACTCCCCCCCACCACTCCCGCCACTCCCTCCACTCCCTCCCTCCACCCACTCCCTCCACTCCTTCCACTCTCTCCACTCCCTCCCTCCACTCCCTCCCTCCCTCCACTCCCTCCCTCCACTCTCTCCACTCCCTCCACTCCCTCCACTCCCTCCCTCCACCCCTCCACTCCCTCCACTCTCTCCACTCACTCCACTCCCTCCCTCCACTCCCTCCACTCTCTCCACTCCCTCCACTCCCTCCACTCCCTCCCTCCACCCCTCCACTCCCTCCACTCCCTCCACTCTCTCCACTCCCTCCCTCCACTCCCTCCACTCCCTCCCTCCACCCCTCCCTCCACTCTCTCCACTCCCTCCCTCCACTCCCTCCCTCCACTCCCTCCACTCTCTCCCTCCCTCCACTCCCTCCACTCTCTCCCGCCCTCCACTCCCTCCCTCCACTCCCTCCCTCCCTCCACTCCCTCCCTCCACTCTCTCCACTCCCTCCACTCCCTCCCTCCACTCCCTCCACTCCCTCCCTCCACTCTCTCCTCCCTCCACTCCCTCCACTCCCTCCCTCCACTCCCTCCCTCCACTCTCTCCACTCCCTCCCCTCCACTCTCTCCACTCCCTCCCTCCACTCTCTCCACTCCCTCCACTCCCTCCCTCCACTCCCTCCCTCCACTCCCTCCCTCCACTCACTCCACTCCCTCCCTCCACTCCACTCCCTCCACTCCCTCCACTCCACTCTCTCCACTCCCTCCACTCCCTTCCTCCACTCCCTCCACTCCCTCCACTCACTCCACTCCCTCCCTCCACTCCCTCCCTCCACTCTCTCCACTCCCTCCCTCCACTACCTCCACTCCCTCCCTCCACTCTCTCCCTCCCTCCATTCCCTCCCTCCACTCCCTCCACTCCCTCTCTCCACTCCCTCCACTCCCTCCACTCCCTCCCTCCCTCCACTCTCTCCACTCCCTCCACTCCCTCCACTCTCTCCTCCCTCCACTCCCTCCACTCTCTCCCTCCCTCCATTCCCTCCCTCCACTCCCTCCCTCCACTCCCTCCCTCCCCTCCCTCCACCCACTCCCTCCACTCCCTCCCTCCCCCCACTCCCTCCACTCCCTCCACTCCCTCCCTTCACTCTCTCCACTCCCTCCCTCCACTCCCTCCACTCCCTCCCTCCACTCTCTCCACTCCCTCCACTCCCTCCACCCACTCCCTCCCTCCACTCACCTCTCTCCACTCTCTCCACTCCCTCCCTCCACTCCCTCCCTCCACTCCCTCCACTCCCTCCCTCCACTCCCTCCACCCACTCCCTCCACTCCCTCCACTCCCTCCCTTCACTCTCTCCACTCCCTCCACCCACTCCCTCCACTCCCCCCCTCCACTAACTCCACTCCCTCCACTCCCTCCCTCCACT